AAGACCTGAATAGACACTTCACCAAAGACGACATACTGATGGCAAATAATCATACAAAAAGATGCTCTACATGATATGTCATCAGGGAAATGCAGATTTAAACAACAATGAAATACCACAACACACACATTAGAATGACCACAATCCAAATCCCTGACAACACCAAATGCTGGCAAGGATGTGCAGCTACAGAATGCTCCTCCATTGCTGGTGGGAATGCAAAGTGTATAGCCATTCTGGAAGACACTGTGGTGGTTTCTCACTAATCTACACACACTCTCACCACATATCCAGCCAACACGCTCCTTGGTATTTACTCAAAGGAGTTAAAAACTTATGTCTGCACAAAAATCTGCATGTGAATGTTGATAGCAGCTTTATTCATACCAAGATGTCCTTCAGTGAATGGATGAAAAGAAAAGAGTTATCAAGTTATGACAAGACATGGAGGAGACTTAAAGGCATATTGCCTTAAGAAGAAGCCAATTGGAAAAGGCGTCAGACAAGACTGTGTGACTCCAGCTACATGAAATTCTGGAAAAGGCACCCTGGAGGCAGTAAGGAGATCAGTGGTTTTGGGGGTTAGGGAAGAATGGGTGAAGTACAGAGGATTTTTAGGGCAGTGAAATGATTCTGTATGGTACTGTGATGTGGATACATGTCATTATGTACCTGTACGAGGGTATGATAAACTTCAAAAAATTCCAGGAAAGATTTGTATTATCTTTCAATTCTATTTTTCCAGGAACTTTTTGAAGTACCCTTGTTTTGTCAAAACCGACGAAAACACCAAGAGTGAACCTGGGACAGGTCCCTGGTGGAGATGCCTCAGCCCCCCATGCTGCTGGGGTTCTGCACCAACAGGAAGTGCCCTCACAAGTTAGAGCTGCATGGTCGTTTTGAAAACTTACTATGAAAAACTCTGATTGGATACCTGTTTCTCAAAAAAGTAAAGGAAGAAAATTTCATTAAATTCCAACTATTATAGATTTTTGAATGACTATAAAGAAATGGTCTACGGGCCGGCCCGGTGGCGCACTGGATAGTGCGCCGCTTGGGAAGCGCGGCGGCGCTCCCGCCCAAGGGTTCGGATCCCACATACAGACCGGTTCCCGCTCACTGGCTGAGCGAGGCGCGGGGGCAGCGCCGAGGGTTGCGATCCCGTTGCCGGTCCCCGGTCTGGTGCGGGGGCAACACTGAGGGTTGTGATCCGTTGCCGGACACGGAAAAAGACAAAAAAAAAAAAAAAAGAAATGGTCTAAAATTTATTAATTCTTTATGCAAAGATTTCTCTCAGACTTCAATGAATTATCTCTTGAAATTCTTGATCACAAATTTCCTTATAGTCACTTTAAGTATAAAACCTGACATATGTATGGTAAACATCCCTGGTTCTCTGGTGCAGAACACGCGTCACCATTCTTGGGGATAGCCACAGGTGTGGAGGTGCTGCCCTCGGCAGCCTTTCCTGAAGGGAGCACCACTGCATGGGCAGGGCCAGGGCATCTGCCGGGTGGCTGAGCCTGGGAGCTACCCCAGCCAGGGCTATGAGAGGACACAGGCTGGCCAGACAGAGGCAGGAGCCGAGGAAGGACATGGGTCCTCAGCAACCTTGCAGTGGGTCCCCCACAACACCCATCTCTCCCTCTGCACCGGCCCCAGGTTCCAGCACTGCTGTGCAAAGGTGGACCAAAATGGAGGCAGGCAAGAGAAAGTCAGATTTTAAGCAACTGGTGTGGATGTGCTCCTGCATGAAGTTGAAGGTAAGACCATGAGCGCAGAGCCCCGTGTACAGTACCGCCCCTGCTCCAGGGCCTCAGGGATAATACGAGACACAGCCCATTGCTCCTGCAGGAACTGAAGCCCCTCGCTCCTCTACCCCGCCTGCTCTCTCTCTCCGTGGGGAGAAGTGTTTTGAGTCCTCATTGCTAAAACAGACACACAGGGAAGGGGCAGAAATGCACCTTAGCATTGACACAAACACCAGTTACCACATGACCAGGTGAGGAGACCACACAGGAGGGGCCACACCCAGGAGATCCTGTGTGGTGACTGGGCAGTGGGGGTCACACTGGGCCACGGCCCCTCATGTCCCCAGGCCCCGCCTTGGTTGGCCCCTGCACCCACCGGGGTTTTTTCCCTTAAAGAGCCCTCACAGCGTGAAACTGAACCTCCTACAGCCACAGCTCACTGCGATGGCCAGACCCTTACACATGCCGATGCTTGGGGACAGGCTGCACATGTAATAAAGTCCAAGTCCTCCAAAGAGAAACAGCCACTGAGCAGAAAACTAGATATTCCCGAGCCGTTCCCAGGTTTTACAAAGAATGGAACCCTTATCCGGCCTCCTCCCCTAGCCAGCAGGCACTTATTACTCCTCTTGTGTTCTGCATCCCTGGAACCTAATGGCAGAAAACTTGTTTTCTCTGGGATATCAATTTGTAAACCTTTTATTTTTCTGCCCAATTCATCTTAGATTTTGGCCCTCTAGTGGCAAAACGAACATGCTTGAGTCAGCAGCTTGCTTCTTTTCCTTGGACGAGGAGTTCCCTGGCCAGCTCTGGGCACCCATGCCCCCGGTGACTGTGGACCCTGTAGAAGCTCACAGGAGGGAAGGGGCGAAGCTACTGCCTCACTCAGCTCTGCAGACAACCCAGTCTCTACCAGAAATGGTCACTCGGGGCTGGCAGGTTAGGGAGAACCGGCCTTTCTGTTGTTCTTTTCCTTCCAAGTCCACTGCGTCATCTTGCTGTAACCTGACTAGTGCACTTGGGACACCCTGGAGTCCTCTGACCACCGAGGATGTCCCCCTCACTGACCTCCACTGGGACCCCATGGGAATGGGCCCTTTGCCCTGAGATGGCCAGAGCCTTGAGGTCCCGCAAACAGGACGACTCCTGCCTCTCCACCTTTCATGATCAGGAGTCAGAGAGCAGAATGTGCCAAGAAGGCATAGCCCCCAACCCGCCAGGACCTGCAGTTCTCAGGGCCTCAGCATCCCACACAAACAATTTTAAAAATTAAGACAGACTAATACTGTGAGAGATATTTAATTCCTAACACTTAATGTTTTCAGAAATATTGGACTAAGAGCCTGTTTCATGTTTTTTGTTTCTTTATGGTTGGTCACCTTGCTTCTGTCATATATGTTTAAATATGAAATCTTGAGAGTACTCACGTCCTCAGTCGTGTTGCTTCCAAGTATGTCCTTCTAATACAGACCCATCGGTAGAGGCTTTTCCCCCTTCTCTGTTTCATAGGAAAGATTCTGACTAAAAACTGGAGATTATGACTAGAGCCACTGTAGAGAGTGGCAAATGACCCCCACTGTGACTGTTAAGAGGGTTGGAAATCCTATTACGGTGATTGAAAGGTGGGGCCTTGAAGAGGTGATTGGCCTGTAGGACCATGCAGTAGTGAATGGATTAATAATGGTGGTCAGGGGTGTGGTCCTCAGGGCTCTGAAAGAAGAGGAGAATCTCCCTGCTCTGCCATTTTCTACCATGTGAGACCCCTGCGTTGCTGTAAAGCCTCCACCAAAGACGACCCTCACCAGATGTGTTCCCTGCAATGTGGACTTCCCAGCCTTCGAAACCATAAGCAATAAATTTCATCTTCTTACAAATTACCCAGTTCCATGTATTTTGTTACAAACAGAACCAGACTAATGTAGCCACGTTGCTATTGTTCTATATGTTTAAAGATGAAATCTTGAGAAAATTTACATCCACAATTCTGTTGATTCCATTTCTGTCCTAACAGACCCATTGTTAGAGGCTTTCCCTCCTTCTGTTTCACAGGAAAATTTGTGAGTAAAAAATATGGAGATTATGAGTATAGCTGTTGTAGAGAATGGCAAATACATGTACTTAGACACTTACCTCAGTGAGGAGAATGAGGCACGGGCTGCACCTGGTCCTTGGACCTGTTAGCCTCCCAACACCTGTTCCCTGGGCCCACGTGATACCTCTGTCCTCTCTCTGTCCACATCATTAGGAGTGTGGATGGAGTTTGACCATCTTAGCCACAATGTGAAGAAGCCCACCTGAGACTGACACCAACAGAAAGAAAGGCCAAACCACGAGGAGGATCCAGGTTCTGATGATGTCTGAGCATCTGAACACCTGATCCAGGCATACTTGAATCTCCATCTAGGACTTCTCAGAAGAGACAGTCAATACATGACAAGCCTACTGTGATTCTGTTACTTACAACTGAAAAGAGTATGGATAGTACATAGCCTTAGACAAACACTTCACTTTTAATTTGGTAATTAACCTAGAACTCAGGAAATAAAAGGTCTGTGGTGCTGCTGATCAGTAATTCAACAACGAGGCTTTGAAGAAAAACTCGCCCTGGCTCCAGTCCCAGAGCTGGAGCTTCTTCACAGATGGAGCCAGGGCATTGGCTACAGCACCACCGACATGACATGGATTCTGCATTTCCTCCACCCACAGCCCAAAGCCTGGCAGGGGTCCACTCACAACGGAGGGTAGACGCCACTGACCACGCTGCTCTGTCCAGAGGTCTCAGGATAACACCAACTGATGACAGAGGCCACTGTGTGCCTGACCCTGACGACCCTGTGAACCACTGCACGCCACGTTGTCTGGCACATCCTGCTCTCCGTGGCAATGAGCTCCTGGGAAACAGCCACCTATATCTTCAGTGTCAGAGACCTAGTTTTTGTAAGTCCAACAGCTAAAAATAATGATCCTTTTTACTCTTAATGTTTTGGTACAACCTTTTGAAAAACTTCCCCCAAATAATGGCAAGAGTAAGAGCCACAGAGAGGCTAAGAGAGTAAGTGTGACCGTCTCTTCTTCTGGCTAAACCCCTGAGGCCCTGGTAATGCATGGACGCCTCTCTCCACATGCCATGTTTTCTGACCTGCACGCTTTGTGGTGGTGCCACCGCCAGCAGTGTGTGCAGCAGACGCGCTGGATCCCAGCAGAGGATCCCAGAGAAAGGGCTGCTCACTCTGGCAGTGTACCAGGAGAAGAGAGCTTACAAAAGGACTTTTATTAAATGAAAGAAAAATCTGTTTGGTGGGTCAAATATGAAACAGATATACAAAAAATTTACATCAGATCTCTCAAAGAAGTAAAGGCCACCAAGAAAAGCGACGCCCTTCACGTCGAGCCGCCCATGGTGGGAGGAGCGGAACCTGCAGGTCATGATGGGCCCAGCGGGGGCCAGTGGTCTCTGCTGGTCGCTGTGCTCTCAGCACATGCACTGTTCTGCTCCATTTAAAAATCCTTTAAGGCTCTGATGGCCTCAGCTGTGACACAGCATGACAAGACCTCCAGGCTCTCTGCCTGATCTCTACGTCCTGTCGGATCCCCACAGTCCTCACCCTGAACAATATGCTAGGTACTTAAAGGGAAAAACCCTGTCCCCCCTCCCCCCATGAGAACAAACCACAACCAGCCCAAAGACCCCTTTAACACTCTGTCACTTAAAAAAGTAGACTTTCTTGTAGTAAAACTTCTTAAAAACACCTATTTCTGCAAAATAATGTGTTTCTGTATGTGGAGCTCTGCAAAGTACTCAGGTCTTTCCAGGACCTGCGGCGCAGCTGGGTCACATAAAGCCGCTGAGCTCGGCCTCCAGCGCGGCTGCCATCTCGTCTGCCTCGGAGCTGCTGCCCTCCCCGTCCTCGTTGCTGGATTCCTTGCTAGACTCACTGGCCGCATCCTCCTCGTGCAGCTTTCTCTTGTGGCCCCTAGAGAAAAGCAGACTTGGTATGAGATGCTTGTAGCACACAAACATACAACACGCACTGCTGTCCTCTGTGATCCGCATTCGCAAAGGGGCACCCGCGGTTTCAGTGCAAGAAAAGACTGGGATCTTGAGGTCAGGAACGTGCACGGGCCACGCCACACACTCACTCCCTTCTCGTTGCTGCCAAGCTCTGCATGCTGAGATGTGAGTGGACAACAGAGGCCCATCAGCACTGGTGAGAAAACTACCCAGCACTCGGTCACACCCAGGACATCCTGAAATCACTATGACAAAGGGATTCTTTACGTAACCCCAAGATATTTTTAGGTAGATAATAAAAAAAGGAAACAAGGTCAGAAAAGTATGATGAGAAGTATAATGATACAGTTGGTACTCAAAATCTGTGCTGTGAGCTACTGGCTGGCACTGGTTCCAAACCTGATTAGAAGGGACATGGGGCAGCTGCCACTGGAGGCATCAAGAACTGGCCAAGTAGGGCAGGGGAAGCTCCGTGCTCCATACGGGACGTGGCGTCTGAGCAGGTTTCGCTGCAAATGGAAAGTACCCACTCCTCGTCAGGGTGAACACTGGGAAAGGATGCTAGTGAGGGCACCAGGAGTTAACGTGCCTTCTCGGCTACCTGCAAGAGCTTTCTGCTTTCTGATGAGGAGGTGTCGTCAACATGCAAACAGGCCACTGCGCATTGGTTAGGTGCACAGTGGCTGTTCTTCCATCTGCAGAGCTGAAACAAACTGTCTTCCTTTGCTACCCCAAGCTCCAGACACTGCCAGACTTTGATTAGCATAAGAACAGGCAAATATCCACATATCAGCAAATAACGAAAAGCCCATAAAAACAGGTCGAATTTATTAGAGTAATTGTCAGTGTTGTGTTAGCAACAAAAATATGGGAGATGTCTCAACACAGGTGCGTCCCCAGGAAGCCCACAGGCCCATCACATGGTCCACCACCCCAGAACTCGCATTTCTTCAGGCAGTCGCTGAAAGTAACTACTTGGATACCAGCACTTTACATGACCAGCAATGCTACTGCACTCTAATCATTACTAGCCACTGCAGATCAACCCCATTCCAGTGACATTTGCAGACTTGAACTGACATTCCAACCAGCTAATGGCCTGCCTGACATGCTCCCTCTAGTGTGGGTGCAGGTGCAGGAGGTCTTGCTGCTCCGACAAAACTCAGCTGCAACCTTGAGAATGGAAGCCCCATCAAACCGCACCATGTCCTATTTGATTTTGCCCCAACAACAGGGTAACTGAGAAGCACCCATCTTAAATTACAATCCCAAAAAATCTCCTAGAGAGAATGTGCTGTGAGAACAGTCATTATATGTGAAAATCTCAAAGACATGTTTTTGGCTAACACACACACAATACAGCTAACACACGTATGTGTATATATAACATGCACTTATGTTAGTATTAAGCACTAACATACACAAACTATAGCATGGTAATAATTTGAAACCACTAGTATTGGTATTAGGAAAACCTTCTAGTTATTTATAAGAGACAAAAGGAATATCATCAATATAATCAGATGGAACCAACAAAAGATCTTTGCTTTGGTATCACAGAAGGAAATGTGCCCACAACACATCAGTTTCCAACTGTGTTACAGTGAATACAATGTAAGAGAAACACAACAGCTCCATAAACTGTAAACCTCACCAGGGCTACCCGGTCCCTCTTTTCAGCCAGGCTGCTCTTTGTGCCAGCACCCCACATGTGAGATCTTTCATCTGCACACCAGGACTCCCACATCCAAGAGATCATTTTATAAAAAGCTAAGCACCCCATCGGTCTAAATTTTAAATAAACACCTCATTTTTGTGTCAAATAGAATGAATAGTATTTTCTAGTAAGAAAAAAATTTTAGTTTTAATTGTTATACAAAAATGAGGGAGGGGTTCAGCTTGAAACTGATGTGAAAAGTATAATTTCTCATGTTAGTGTCTAAAAATTAAGACTGTAAGGAATACAAGTATAAATGATGTGAAAATGATGAATGTGCAATTTAATTTCCCCACTAAAAATACAGTGTCAAGGGGGCTCCTGAGCACAAGAATTTTTCATGGCAATTATTACAAATACCAAGACACATGGCCCCGAGGTTACAAACGGTCCACTTCTACACAGCAGCAGGAACCCGGTCGAGCTCAGCTCTGAGGGGCCCTCCACGGCACCTGTGGCTGTCTCAGGCCATGCTAGACAAGGCATAACTGCTGCCATTGGTTTGTATGGGGTTTCCATCCTGCAATGAGGTTTTGCCTTGAGGCTGCACAGAGACCTCCCTATCTTGGCCACCAACGGTGCTCAGAGATGTATGTAGGAATATACATATAAAAACCCATGATTTGGGGAAACCTTTTGAATTTAGAAGAGAAGAAACTCCCAACAAAGATGTATTTAGTTACATAAAAATGAATATTTGTTTGGCAAAAAACACCCTAAACAAAGTCACAAACACCGGACAAGGAAAACCATCTGCAAGACACAGTACACACGTAGCATGTGAACTATAATATAGGAAGAGCTTCTGCATACCAGTAATACCACAAATAATCTAACCGGGAGAAGCAGTCCCAAAACAGAAAAAGGCAACTGACAGAAGAAATTCAAACAGGCAGTACACACAAGCAGTTACCAGAGAAATGCAAATTAAGATAGTAATCAGATGTTGCATCTCATGCCCAGGCTAGAGACGTCCAGTCCTAGCAGGGGTGTGGGAGAAGGAAATTTGTGAGCTCTGAAGCTGTGATGCTGGGACAGCCTTTGGGAAATGAGTCTAGCAATATCTATTAACATTTAAAATACACAGTGCCTTCAGCCTAGCAACCCCATCTGTGGGAATCTATCCCATAGAAACAAAAGCGTCCATATATAAGAACAACATCCAAGGACATTTGTTATTAAGTCTAGTTCATCCAAGGTGGGTGCAACTGAGACCAGTTTGGTGACAGAGGGACAGAAGGGGACAAGAGGATGTCTCCTCCTCTCCAGGATGCAGGGGGGACAGCCATGGGCATTTATATACTGTCTCCCAAAAACTGACTACTAAATCGACAAGCTCTCTCAGCCTGAATCCTCTCCAGCTTTGCACGTCTTCTGCTTCCATGAGTATGATTCAGCAAGTAAACAGTCGCTGTCTTCTCCAGACTGCTTCTGACTCTGGAAGGCCAGCTCAACACAGGAAGAGCCTCTTGCCACTTCAGTTTTCTTCAGGTACCAGCGAGCCACCCTTCATCAAGGATTGACCTTGATCTATCACGGTAACTCGTGACTGTGAAACGATTAATTTCAACTTGATTACCTGCACAACTGAGGAAAGCTTTCCTAATCTTTCGGTGACAAAATTGGGCCTTTACCAACAACTGCTTTGTGTCTGTAAAGGAGAAAGTTTTTTTTTTAATGGTTTTCCCAAAGAAATGAGAAATGATTAATAAAAAGAAAAGTCCCTGATCGAATAGTAAACCCAATAACCACCCTCGCAGGAGCATAAGACATGGAAACGACAAACGTTAGCACGGCCCTAGAGCTCTGCCACAGGGTCATCCAAAAACCTCCAGAACAAACAGGGACTTAAGAGCTAGTCTTGCGAGTCACAAAATGCACACAGGGTATCGTTGGCATTTTTAGAATTGCCAAAAAACTAAACCAAACCCAAACCCAAACCCAACGAAGGCTAAGTAAAGCTCACATGCACTTCAAAGTGTGCCAGGGAGGGCGGCCCATGAGAGGCAGGTCTGCAGCCTGAGGACTCGAGAGGTGGGGAAAACAAGAGACCAGAGAGTGAGGGGCAGCGTGTGAGTACACACAAGTGGGAAAACAGGCTGATGTAGGAGTGAGCCTCAGGTGGTATATCCAGGGGAACCAACAACAGGATCCCAACTCAGAGCCAGATGACGGACATGGAAGAGAAAAGCTGTGGACACTTGGGCTGCTCCATTGAGACATGATTGTTACTACGGGAAGTGCCCGCCAGTCTCAGGTCCTAGCATGGCACCGAGCAAGTCTAAGGACAATCCACACTGTTGAACAAAGTGTCTGCTGACTCAGTACCAAACCCATTTCCCAAATCTGGGGTGCGAGCATTGAAGTCACCTACCTCTGGATCCAGGAATGTGTTTCCACGTGCCATCAGGCTCTTTTCTGTCAACACCAACCCAGCAGAACCGCTGCAGACAAGTTTGCCACTGCCACACAATGCCTACCATGTGACCCCACCAGGTGAAGGTCAACACAGCCTAGACCACCGACCTGTTTTGAAGGACACCAGGTAGGGCCGCAGCATGGGGAGGGGATGAGACGATCATGAACATGGGCGTGGTGGCTGCAACCTCTCTGGGCCTCACTTTCCTGATCCGAAAAGTAGGAATAACTGTAGTGATTACTGCATAGGGCTGCTGTGAGGATTAAATGAGTTATTGTAACCACTAATACAGGGAGGGAGTGAGGGAGTCAGTCCAGATACATGAGCAATTAGTCACAGAGAGAAAAAGAATTAGCAAACAGAAGGCTTCTTTAGAAACAGAACATCTTACAGAACAACCGTGTTCATAAGCATCTCTCTTTGGGTGTCAGCGCACATATGTGGCCGTGCATAGGCATGTACTCTCTGCTCTCAGGAATCTTCCAGGTTCTTTTTTATGCTGACCACTGCCTGGTGCCCAGTCTGGCCAAGCCCCTCCTGACCTCCAGCGTGTGTGGGGGGCCCACTGGGCAGGGGCAGTGCTGGCCAGAGACACAGATCCGAATGAGAACGGACAGCCACAGGGTCAGGAGGTGGGCAGAGGCTGTTAATAAGCCTCAGTGATTCTGAGTGGCCAGACTAAAGTTTTCCGGGACTAGTGGAAGAAAACTCTAGAGAACATTGATGTATACAACATGTCTCTCCTGCTGTCTCATTTTTCTGCTGCATCCAGCCCCACCTCAGGGTTATGGTTCAATAAAGAATGCAGCAGGGAGTATAACAAGTT